CCAGGGCCTTTGCATAAGCTGTTCCTCCAGCCTGGATGCTCTTCTCGCCTTTCCCTTATGCTCTCCCAGTACTGGAAATGACCCTCCTGCTCTGGCTGCAGCGTCTTTCCTGTGGAGGGTCAGCCGCCCAGAGCCTGTGTCAGCTGCAGTCTTTACAGGTTGATGACCAGAGAAGATGCAGGTCAGCGTGGGCAGGGTTGCTGCTCTGCCTCTGGGAAGTCTGTAGTCAGCTCCTGCCAGGGACAAAGGTGTCCACCTCTCAGGGGTGGCGCCAGCGGGAGGTGGTGGGAGGTGAAAGGGGACGGACTGGTCACTCGGATGGTGACTGCACTGTCTTATGGGTTCTGGGCCCAGGGGCAAAGCCTGTGGAGATGCCAGCATCCCAGGAAGACAGAAGAAACAGGAGCCCCCAGCCAGCCCTGCCGGAACCCCTTCTTCCTGGCCCGGGCAGCCTGGCCTCCGTGCTGGCCCACTTGCTGTGGCTTGAGGATGTTGGGATTCTCACTAGGCCTGGCTCCATGGCCTCTGAGTGGATGCAGGGCTGGCCCAGGGCCTCCCCTCTGGCTCCTCAGTCGGACCCTCCCCCAGGGCACCTGCCTGAGTTTGGCACACTGTGGGGGTAAGGCTAGGAACCTGGCTATGATGGCCATCAAAACAGGGTTCAGATCTGAACTTGTTCACTTATGAGCTGTGTGACCTGGGGTGAGTTTTTTGACCTCTCTGAGTTCCAGCATGTGGAGCCCGTGGTACATCCCAGCGCCTGGTATATGACACGTGATGCGTAAACAGCAGCGTCATGGAGCTTTGCCGTCTGTGCAGCTCCTCTGACAGCCCTGGGGCATCTCACTTCTGAGAGCCCTGGGCAGCGATGGTCTGGGTCACTTGTTTGACACCTAGCCCATGTTTTCAGCCATTCTCATGGTCCCACGTGCCCCACGGCGCCCAGCACGAGGCTCGGTGTGATGGAGGATGTTGGGAATTTCAGTTTGGGGTCTGGCTGTGTGTGTCCTCGACAGTGATAGATTCCTGGAGGGTCCCTGCAAGAGGGGGCTCTAAGCTGGCCCCCGGAAGGCTTGGTGGCAGTGGCTCTGCTGTTCTGAGGCTGGTCTCTGACGTCCAGCCAGGCAGGAGCTGGGCCTGGAGGGGTGTGTTTCCCGACGCTGATGGAGAGGTGTGGCCGGCGGTTCCCTCCTGAGGGCGG